TTTTTTTTTTTTTTTCTCAAGTGCATAGGATGTGTGAATGGCCCTTTTTCTCCACTTATAGGAGAGGCAAACTTAGTGAGGAAAAAAAGAAAAAGGCATTCACTTTTGTAGCGCGTTTATTGGAAAAGAGGTGTGGGTACAAACCTCAGCGATATGCTGTTAGGGGTATACATGCATATATATATGTACATACATATATGTATACATACATACATGTGTGTGTGTTTGGGACAATTGGGCGGTGCCTCCCCTACTGGACCTTCCCAATTGGGACTACCTCCTCTTTAGCCCATTTTTCGCATCCCAGATGGGTGTGCTCTGAATTATTGTCAAGGGAGTCTCCCCGACAGGTGTTTTATTTCCACCCCCGGGGTAATTCCCTGACGAATTGAAATTTCCTCCAATGAGATGTCCTGTTTTGTTTGCGCTTCCTCCAGGTGATGTAACAAAAATGGGAGAAACATATGAGGTGAGGGTGGGGTTAGACCCGTTTGAAGCCCCCTGCTGGAATGTCGATAAAGGTGAGGAGAAGTTTGGCAAATGAGAAGGGAAAAGGTCGTTGGACGAGTGAAGGAGAATACACAAATCAGCCACGTCCGTTAGCTTCCTCATCTAGTGGGCATAGAAAGTCGGCTGCGTGTACCACATTGTGAGATGAAGGGGGAGTGCCTCCATCTGTGTGGCCAAGGAGGAGATATCCTCTAATTAAACTTGAGTATTTCGCAGCGTGGGGTTCCATTCCAGTTGCGCCAGGAGGGGAAGGAGCACATAAGAGGAATGTGTCGTGTTAAGGTTAGTTTCTTTCCTCCGTCCCGCTTCACATCGAGTGTTGCTGATTCGTTCGTTCGGGGGCGCAAAGGTAAAAAAGTCACACAAACTGGACGAAGTGTCGTGTGCTGTGTCCTGTTCTGCTCCTCTGCACGGGTCTGTTATTGTTCTGTTTTGTTCTGTTTTCTTTCTTTTTGCACAGGCGAGGCGGCCTCTTCGGAGCCAGTGAACTTTTCTATTCGCCCCCCTTTTCCCTGGCGACCCTTACGCAAAGGCATACATCGTCCTATAAGTCTCCGAAAAGTCAAAAAAAAGAGGAACAAATGGCTACATGCGAGTGGAGATAATAAAACAGCGGGAGGAACATCGCGCTCATTTTTTTTTTTTTTTTTTTTTTTTTTTTTGGGGGAGTACATGGGAGGTTTTTACGACTGTGGTGCCCTTTTCTAAGTGAACCAAAATTTATCAACTTCCGTTTCCCTGGCGTTATTCCAATCAACTTGTGCCATTCCGTGCGCATATCTCATCGCGTTGGTTTTTTCCCCTGTATGGCAAAATTTATGGAGAAAGAAAAAACAGCCTGGGCGTGATGTCACCCCGCATCTTCTAATTCTGACGCAACGGCATTTTGCCTCACCTCCTTCTGGAAAGATGATACTTTGAGGAGTTTGTCCCCCCCTCCCGTCCTCTGAAATTTTATCTTCCGTTTCGTTTTCCTGCAGCTTTGTTGCTGTTTGCTGCCCCTTTTTTCTCATCCTCACACCATGGCGGGTAATGAGCACGGGGACGTAAAAAACTTGGATCTGGGACCAGGTATGGCAGAGGCGATCCGTCGCCTGTTGCCAAATCCGCTGCCCACGTCGTGTCATCCTTCCCCTTCTGCCACTCAGTGAGCTCACCCCATTTGGCATTCCCTCCTCTTCCTCTTCAGAATTTAAAAACTGCAAGTGCCTGAACTTGTGCGAGCTGCAACTCATCTTGGGAGACCAGCTGCGGTTGACGTCGAAGCGGAACGAGGAGGCTCAAACGTAAGGGGAGTGTCGAGTGAAGTGCTGCCTGGAGTGACGCCGCTGGGCACCACCCCGCTTCGTATCATCCCGCTTGGCATCACCCCCGCTTCGCATCACTCTGCTTCGTATCACTCTGCTTCGTATGACTCTGCTTCCTATCACTCTACTTCGTATCACTCTACTTCCCCCCCACGCAGGCTCATAAAATCCTCGTTCGACTACGCCAACAAATTCGCAACGATCAAGAACAGGAGCTCAATCGTGGACGTGCGTACGAACCTGGAGCGCCTGGGGGAGCTGCACGAGTATGAGATTGCTATGCTGGTAAACCTTCTGCCAAAGACGGTACAGGAGGCGAGATACTTCATCCCGTCCCTCATTCGACTCAGCGACGAGACGTTGAACTCTATTTTGGAGCACCTCATCAGTTATAAGATGTACGTCTCGTGAGGGGAGAAGCGACGACTTAGAATGGACAAAAGAAGAATGCACAAATGAAGAAGGGAGAAGTTACGCGGGGAAAATGCAGAATGGACAAATGAGGAAGCTGCAAGTTGGAAGCTGCAAGTTGGAAGCGGCAAGTAGGAAGCGACAAATGCATCATGCGCAGGGGACGACGCCGCGCCGTGGCCTCCCCCCTCAGGCGTAGGCCTTGTCCACGGCGCCCCTGGCACCCATGCGAGACTTGGACAACGAGGGAAAGGGGTCGTTCTTGCTGAGCACGAGGATGTTGCTGTCGTAGGCGACATACGCATTTATGTATTTAAAAAGAATGAGAGAGGTGATAATACAGAGGGTCTCCAATTGGTGGTGGTGCTGTGTGATCTGGGCCCAGTTAAAAATGTGATGAAAAATACAGATAGGGACTTTATACAGTTTGTTTGGATTATCCTTAATGGTCCCATTCCACCAATCGACAGCAATTTTGAGGAGGTTACGTTTGACGACAAAGTGAATCTGGTCAATGCATTCATTCAGTCCGTTATCAAAGAAATACTTGGAGTGTTTATCCATGACGCGATTGTAGAGAAAGATATTTCCCTGTTTGATAGAATGAATGATATCCATATAGATGGTTAGTTCATAATCCTGTAACAATCTCTTCGGAGGGTAGAGTCCTTTGTTCAATCGGATGGATATAATACTCTCCAATAGTTTTTTCTTAAAATCTGTTTTTCCTTTTCTCGAATTGGAGAAGGCCCAGATGAATTCCTTCTCCGCCTTCTCATAGTCCATTTTGTGCAAATATAATTTTCCTAACTGATACTTAAAGAGAACAATAAATGATCTCGGAATATAGGAGTAGCCTATATCTGTTGAGTTGATTATTTTTAGAAAACTTGTTGTTATCTGCATGTTATTCAATTTCATACATAGTTTTATCGATTGAAACATGAGGATGACGAATCCTCCATGCTTTTCTATGTCTCCTTTAACGATGCCTATTTTTCCTCTAATTGAGTTTAATACCTCAATTGTGTATTTATTCTTCTCATTTATGTCTTCATTTTCTTCATTATATATGTCGTTTTTGTTACTGGTGTTGTAATGCGAATCCGCTAAGGTACTTATCGTATTTAGGAAGGAGCAGATGCTTAGTAGGTATGGTAGTAACCACAGGTTTTCACTGTAAAGATGGAGAAAGGAGGAGAGAAACTTGCATCCTGTACTGAGGAGGACGTCCCAATTAATACTGCTTCGATTGCACAATGTTTTGATAATAGTGTAATGGTCTATTATTAATTGTTCATAATTTTTTAGCGAATTTTTTTTTTTTATTTTTTTCCTTAACTCGGTTTCTGTTGTTTCGTCAAAGAGGAGGATGTCTACTGGTAGTTGAGTTAGCTTAAGGATGGAACTTATTTTGTACCCGTTACGTATTCGCACGCAATTCTCCATTTCCTGCAACAGGTCTTCATAAGTGCGCTGTCTACGCGGCGAGCCTCCTTCCCGCTGCTTCCGCAGCAGGTTGATTTTCCGCGTTATGGCGTTCTCGTCGGGTGGGTTCATTTTGGGGAGAATCGCTTCTAAGCGGTTAATGGGAAATGAACGTTGAGCAGCACGTTCAGCGGCATGTTCAGCGGCACCTTGCGCGGCGATGGAATCCTCCCCGCGTGGCACTTTCCTACGACGCCAAGCTGGGGATAGTATTCATTGGTGTCCTCTGAAGGGGGCTCTCACATGGGGGCAGCAGTGCTAGCGGTAGGAGCAGCAATGGCGGCAGTGGTGGCACACGTGCTTCTCAACGGGCCGCTTTGCCTGACTGGCCAATCGGGCCAGGTGGTCCTGCCCAGTGGTTGCGACTTCTCCTCTCCCGCAATGGAGGAACTTTCACGCGCGTTGGTAAGCTGCCAGATTGGTAAGCGGCTAGGTTGACGGAGCAACTAGATTGAGGAGCCCGTCGGTTGCCTCGCCTCAGCAAGTTATACCATCGCGCGTGTAACATAATGCCATGCCAAGGGTGGAGGGGAAAAGAAAAATGTTCTCACTCTCTGTAGCGCCTCCAACAGGGGTCTCCAAAAAAAACAAAAAAAAAAATTGCCCCACGCGTCGGAAGAAATGACCTTTATCTATGCACCGATTGGAGGGGATTGAAGTCGAAGTTGGTTTCTCACTCCAATGCGGTTGCGGAAGTGGAGAGGCGGCAACGCGGTAACGCTACACAGCAACAACGCGATGATGCGGCTGAGACCCTCATGCGGCGCGAAAGAAAAAACAGCAGTAAATTCGTGTGGAGGAACATCCCCCACCCCTCGGTCGAGAGTCACAGAAAAAAAAAAAAAGTTCCCAGTTTTTCACCTTCATTTAAAAAGAAGCAAAAAAAAGGCAAACAAATGAAAAAAAAGAGAGAGAAAAAAAAACACATACGTGTCGTGTACTTAAGCATGTGCACAGACAAACGAATGCCTACCGAGAAGAATGAGGAGCACAACATATGGGAGGAGGGGTGATAACCTTCAGGTGGGGTTGAGGAGGGAGACCTACCACCTTGTGCTTAAAAGCACATGGCCATGCCATTCCTTCGTATGGCATCCCCTGTTATGGCACCCCTTGGTACGTCTCCCCACAAGAAGACAAACACATTTTTTTGCTTTCTCCAACAAGTGTGTAGCTTTTTCCTTTCGGCACTGCTACTGTGCTAGCCAGATGGTATTGCCTCTCCTTCCTTTTTATTCAAGCAGAGGGTGAAGTGGCTGGACTCGGAGGACAACAGGTCGTGGATGCTCTGCGGAGGGGGGGGGTATAAGAGAAAGTAGTGCAGACGTGGTGGAGATGCGGTTGCGACGTGGGGTCCAATTGCCCCCTAATCGCCTTCGAGGCGATTCTTCGCCCGCGCACCAACCGTGATGTTTCGGGTGCCGTCCCTTATGGATAGGAAATCCAGCTCGTATTCTTTGCGCAGAAAGTGGAGCTTCTTTTTGATGTGATTTTTTATCATCCGTAAGAGGTCCTCGAGGCTCATGTGCTTCTTCACGCGCACGGGCATGTTGACGTTTAGGTTTCCTTGTGGGGGGGGACAGGTAGCGGTGGTAAAGCGGCATAATCGGGATAATCGGCATAATCAACGGACTATGGGCCCACGCGATTGGGGGGCGACTCTCCCTGGGTCTACCATTCGAAAGGACAAAATTGAAATGACCGCTCTCCATTCGCCTCCGTTCATAGAGGGAAATGTTGTGATCGTCCAAGTTGGTAGTTAGTATGTCCACGTCCCTTTTATCGATGCGGCAGAAATTTAAGATGCAGTCCTCGATGAGTTCTTCCGCGATGTAGGACACGATCTGGATGGGAATGCATATGGGCGTGATGTGAGAAAGAGGAGAAGAAAAAAAAAAAAGAAGAAGAAAAAAGTCCTTCCATAGACATGCGGAGCATCGGCAGCCAGTTGGAGGAGAGGCCCATCAGGGGAAGAAACTTCTCCCCTGTGGATGATGAGTCAAGACCACAATAAATTTGATGCACGGCCATTTTTTTTTCCCTTTTAACCTTTTCCGTGGCTACAAACGCGATGGTGTTTTTGAGCAGATTTTTTGTGACTTGGTTATGCCATTCGATTTGGGCTCGATTGTTCTGTCCGTAGGTCTGCAAAAGGAGAAAAAAAAGGAGGAAGAAAAAGTGACATGTATGCATAATCAGTGAAATGTGTGAATGCAAAAAGGACAAATTGATTGTTGGAGAAAGTCGAGGCATGAATTCAGGACAGGGGACTCTCCCCCTCCCATCCCGCTTCCTTTCCTTCCAATGTACCTGCTCCTTCGCCGACTGGACATTTTTCCTCACAATGGAATTTATAAGACTCCCAGATAACCCGAAGATGTTTATTTTGTTGAAGATGTCGAGGCACCTGAGGGGGGAGGTCGGGGCGCAGGAAATGTGTAGCCCCTATGCGGATGATGGTCTCCCCCTTGTGCGAATGACTAAAGGGGGATCCACCGAACAGTTGGGAGGAGATACTTAGTAGGGGGGACCCACCTGAAGAGTTCAGCCCCGTCAGCCATGACCCCCAAGTTGTCCCGCTGAAAATCAGTGAGGTGTGAATACGTCTGCACATTCTGTAGGTGGATTAATTGGACCGCCTTTTTCTTCTGTTCCATCGCCTTCACGTTTTCCTCATAGGTAAGCTGAATGGTAGCTTCATTCACAATCTGTTTGGTCAAATATTTTGCAAACCTTCTTATTTCTTCTGCCTGGTAGAGGCTACTCGTTTGAGTGTATCTCTCTTTTTTTTTTCTCTCTTTCTCTGATATGATTTGTTCATATAGAAAGGTCCCATCATTTTTGAGATTTTTTAGTTGCTCATTTGATTCTGTTATTTGTACGGACTTATTGGTGCACACGATTGTCGTCACTGGGGCAGTTAGGTTTCCTCTGTACGCATCTACACTCTGGTTTGTTCCAGGGGGGTTGACTTCGCTCCCTTTGGCGTAGAATCTTTTCCCACTACTGGCATAATTGCCCTTTTTGTCTTTCCCTTCTGGTGGCCGTTTGGGTAGTTTCCCCTTTGGGGGCTTCTTCACCGTTTCGGCAGCGTGGTTTTGAGTTTGTCTCCAATTTGTGTTTATGAAAGTGGAGTAAATAATCGATTGGACGGTCTCGTCGTCCTTCGCACAAGGGGCCTCGGCTCCAGTGACTGCACTAGTACCACTGGCTCCAATTGTCCGATTTTTTCTTGGCTGTTTTTCGAAGAACAACATTTGGCGAACGGCATCAACTCGGTCTTCAGCCCCACCTAACTTGACACTATTGGGAACATTTTTTGAGGTCGTCCGATCGTTCATATTTTTGTAGACGTAACTGACGCAGTTGATGTCCCTCTTATGTAGTGTCTTGTTGACGTTATCTAGGTAGTGTTTCCTTGTCTTCTCTATAAAGGGAGCTTCATCTGGTACCCTTTTTGTGGTTCCTCCGGATGGCTTCACTCTGTGGCTCTTCATGGGGTTGCCCCGGCAGTCACCTTGGCGATCATTTTTCTGATTGCCTTTTTGATTGATTTTTTGACCGTCTTTTTGATGACCTTCCTCACCGTATTTTTCACCGTCTTTCTGACCGTTTTTTTCACGGCCTTTCTGACCGTCTTTTTTACCGCCTTTTTGATCTCGTTTTTGACCGCCTTTCTGATCTCCTTTTTGACCGCCTTCTTGATCTCCTTCTTGATTGTCTTTTTGATCTCCTTCTTGTTTGCCATGTTTTCGCCTCTCATCGTCCTTCCCACTGGTCAGGTCGCTCGATTTTTCTGCTTCTTTCTGCAAAGCCATTTTGATTTTCACGCCCCTTTTTTTCTGGGTCTGTTCGGGAATTCCGGAAGGGTGAAGACTCTCACTCGAAACGCCGCGAAAGTGATGCGTAGGTGTGTATACGGCTACATCTGTGCGGGAGTGAACTTCCCTCCCCTGCTGGGATTGTCTTTCCTCCCAGCTCCGCAATCATACACTTGTCTGTTGGCGGGAACGCCCCTCACTCACTACCCCGTACGAGCATCTGCGCAAAGTGGCGAGGCGGTTGGTATGGAAAATGGGCTTATGCACAATAGGCTTATGCACGATGGGCTTATCCACAATGGGCTTATGCACTTGGCCGATATAGACGCGTCCATGCGGGA